TAATAAAAGCTTCTACACAATTGCTATCGCAAAAATTAATCGGATAATTTCGATCCACACTTCAGCTTCAAAGTGAGAGTACTTCAAGTTCACAGCTTTCAAATTGACGACTTTGTACCCACTTGGGTTCATTTGCGTTTTTGGATTGAAGAGCTAGGCACTCAGTCACATGATTCCACTTTACCTAGGAGCCATGACTGACAATTAGCCATCAAAATCACAATCTATAAGGGAAATCAAGAAATGGGGATGCGTAATGTCAAATTTTACGCCATGGAAAAGAAATACAGAGAATGACAAATTCCACTGTCAATGAAAACGACCAAAGTGCTGATTCATATTGAAATTTAAAGAAAAAGGAAGAAAACAAAGAGTACACTAAAAAGTTCTCTATTAATTACCTCGATTTTTGCATCAACCCTTTGTTATATTCGGCCTAAGTCTTGCCATTGCTACAGTCCAAGAGCTGTTTGACATTTGCCATGGCGGCCGGTTTGACAAAATGCTCGCCCTAGAGATCAAAATAACCGTGGTTATGAGTTTAACCTGGAACTTTCCTTATTTTTAGAACCGGGGATTTTCCAAATGTCTGAATTTTCAGCTCACTAGGAAACTAAAATGGGTTTTGGTTTGTAATCTTTGTATGAAAATGAAACCAACTGAATATGGAGTATAAACAATATGTATGCCAACTTTCCAGGTGGGAAAGGATTATAAGATGGGGTTTTGTTCTCCAAGTTCTGAACCATCAAAGCATAAAGATGTCTGTTTGTGTTGCTTATTGAAACGGTAGTTCTTAGCATTCCCCGGTTTAGCCAATTTGGCAAAGCAAACCCAATATAAGCATAAACCACCCATTCCAGGGCACTTGCCTCCCCCAACTAGGAGCCACTGCCAGAGCCAAGAAACCCCATTTCGAAAGCCTTAGTAAGCCAGAAAAGCCACAGCCTGAGCACAAGCCACCAACTCTACCTTCTTTAGTAGGACCAAAACCACCCATTGCACCAACTCTATCTCCAAAAGTAGGAACAGCACCAGCAGTACGCAAGCCACCAGTTGAGAAGCTTGCCCCAGAACACAGGCCACCAGCCCCATGGCCAAAACCTCCTACACCGGCACGTGAGCATAAGTCACCAACTCTGTCCTCGACCAAACAATCTCCACCCTATGGAAACTACCCTGGGCACCATCCAATGGAGAAGCTGATGAGCGTCACAAGCATATATTATATATAAGAAGCCTCCTAGCCCAAACTACAGGCTACCTCACACTCCCCCATCACATTTCCATCCCAATTGAGTTGTTAAGGCTATAGATGGATTATTAACTATAAATAACAGGTTAATAGGTACTCGTTATAATGTTTTGTCCATTACCTCTACCAATACTGATTGCTTATGTAATTGCAGGTTGGAGTTCTCCGCTTCTACTATATTAGCTAATTACCAAATCCAAGTTTTTTTCTTCTGTAATGCCGTTGAGTTCAACAAAATCACCGAGTTTAAAGACATTTTGTTGTCGTTTCGTGCATGGAGATTAGGTTGGTGGAAAGAGACATTACCAAATTCCCAGAAATAAGAAAAAAAAATAATAACGGCAATATTCATAATCAATCATGCATTTTAAACATTTTGTTCCCTGGAGGACAAAGCTACAACTAAACCTTGAATAAGCAGCCAGTTGAAAGTTCATCTAATTTGAAAACGAGTACAATTATTTTTTATTTGAAAACGAGTACAATTATATTTTTATCAAAAAGATGGTAGGTAAGATATGCTTACTAGCTGCATGCAGATTTTGAAAATGCCCAGTTTCCCTCACATGACAACCTTGTTCTCTCACCACTGAACCTTTTCTTCTGCCAGCACATAGGAAATCTAGGAAATCTGCTTAATTTTGGACTCAGGAAAGTGATCATAAATTTATAATTCTATGTTAATTAAGGATGACATGTGGTAGATAATGGGAGATTTTTCTTAAACTCTGATCAAAGTATATCAAACTGTTCATCTATTTTATTTGGAATAAACCTTAAGCTGCCTGAGTTCATGTGAATTAAACCGGTTACTTAACTGTTCACCTGTGTTTAGAGCTCATTTTTCATCACAATTAGTTATACCAAAGCCAGTGGTATAATAGAAAATAAATTTCCAGAAGCCTCTAAGTAACCACAGCTTACCTCCTTAGAGATTGATCCCAAGTTAAAATCTTCTCCTCCCCAATTTAAACTATTGAAATTGAAGCTATAAAATACTTCATAATGTCATAAAATGAAATTTAGTCAGGATTACTATTATAAAGAAAAAGAAAAAGAAAAAGAAAAAAAATAAAACCATTTTAGATTTGGAATTAAGGTACAATTATGAGCACTCCTCATGAAACAGGTACTCAAGTATGTGGCATCCTGTCATAAGTGTAGTACCGGCACAAAAAGCGACAATCATCAAATGTTGCAGGAAATATGTTTCATGAAACGGTTCAGATTCTCTGGTCAATAGCCTCAGTAATATAATAAATTTCTCTCCTCAATGGAACCATTCCTCTGTATTTGTGGAGTTTAATTTGCCTGTGGCCGTGGCTTTAGTGCAAGGGTGATAGAATCCATAAGAATATGAGCTAAGCTATTTGGTAACCTCAGATAAAGGGGGAAAAGAGAGGAAACATGAAAATTATGCAATGATAGTGAAAGAAAGCTGTTTCTGACAATCAACAAGAGGATTAAGATTCTACTTCTAAAAGTCAATAAAGACGATTAGATGAAAAAAATCAAGCCTAATTGCCAAGTACCAAAAAGATAGAATTAGGTAACTAAAAGCAAAATAGAAAGAGAAAAAGAGTATGCATCATCTGTCATTACCGACAAATAAGCTCACTTGTTGGTAACTAAAGGAAAGAAGTTAGGTGAGTGCAATGTGTGTAGACTCCCAAACAAGACAGCAAAAACTTCCACCAACAATGAAGTTGCATTTGCAAAAAAAGTTAATAACGTCAGTAATTCGTATTTCCTAAATTTTGATCAAAATTTTATTTTAATTTTGTACATTTTAAAGAATTTTAATTGAATATTTAATTACTCAAAATTATCTTATTTTAATTTTTTTATTTATGAAATTGTCTAAATTAATGACAAATGCAAGTTGGTACCACATGATAATGTCAACTAACTTATCACATGATAGATGAGGGATCAAAATAAAATTCTCTCAAAGTTTAGGGATTAAAAGAAGAAACTATCTAAAAAATTTTATAAAATATTAAATTTAAAATTATATTGTTATATTTTTTTGTTGTAATACAATTTATTAGTTATATTTTTTGTTTTTAATAGAAAATATTTTTAAAAAAAATTAAATTTAAGTTAAAATTTTAAATTATTCTTTAAAAAATTCAATATCATTTTAAAAACAAAAAATTATTTTATATTAAAAATATTATTTTACTCATAAATCATAATAAAAATATATATTTTCTATTTATAAAATATATATTTTAAAATATTAAATATATTTTATTTTCCTTTTTCAAATATATTTTATAAAAAATAAATAAAGGAAAAATAAAAATAATTCAAGAAAAAATTTATTTTTATATATTTCAAATATATTTTACAAAATATTATAATTTAAAATATTTTTTAAAATTTTTATTATGATATGATTTATCAATAAAATAATATTTTTAATAGAAAATAGATTTTTAAGAAATTAAAATTAAGTTGAAATTTTCAAAATAATTTTGTTAAAATTACACATCATTTTAAAAAATTAAGTAAAAATTTTTAGATCATTTTCAAAAATAGATTTATTAATCTATTTAAGAATATAAAAACTTTATATTCATATAAAATAAAAATATAGTTTAAATAAAAAAATAATTTAAAACATTTTTATTTTTCTTTTTATAAAACATATTTTATAAAATATATTTAAAAAAGAGAAAAGAAAATATATTTAATATTTATAAAAATAAAATTTTTGGATAAAAATAATATATTTAATTATGATTTATAAGTAAAATAATATTTTTAATAATATTTTTGTTTTTAAAATTAAAAAAAAAGAATTTGAAAATTTTAACTTAGTTTTAAGTTTTGAATATCAATTTTCTATTTAAAAGGAAAATCTATCTAATAAGTTATATTATAACAAAAAAAATGCAAATATAAATATAAATATAAATATAATATTTTTATAATACATGTATGAAATATATAAAATTTTAAAATAGTTTTATTTTTGATATCTAAATTTTGAAAAAATTTTATTTTGATCTATCATCTGTTACGTAAGATATTAGTTGACATTATCACGTAATGTTAGTTAATATTTTTCATCAATTTAGACAATTCTATAGATGGAAGGATTAAGATAAGATAATTTTTTAAATTTAACGATCAAATCAGAATTGGATCAAAGTTTAGAAATTACAAATGCTATTAACCCTTTGAAAAAAAAAAACTGTTAGATTTGGCCTAAATAATCTCCCTCAAGCAACCTTAGACATGCAAGCTCAATTTACCAACCTCTGTTGTAGGCTTTTTTTTTTTTTTTTTTTGATAGTTCTGCCATTTTACATTTGAACACCACGTGAAGCTTATTCTTAGGCATTGTTCAGAGGAAATCTCTTCACTTTCAGTTTCTTGTTGAGATATTTTTCATGCCTTAAGCTTCTATTTTTGTTAGGAAAGACTTTTGAGCATAAATCATGGAATATACTCCTGCTTTTCTATTGTTTTTAACAGCAAAAGGGTTGTTTCATGGAAGAGAAGTAAATATAGATGCTAAAACCACACTTCTATAATTTTCTTCAATCATGAATAAGGCCTTGTATCCAAAGTCCAAAATCTCCACTAAGTGGGACCTAAATGGACCCCGTGACATTTATGAATTACTTGGTGAGGTATGAAAACAAGAGAAATTTTGATATCTGTACTAGCAAAAGGGCTCCTTTCCCACTATAAAAGGAGCACTTCTCATTGCACCAGGGAAAGACAGAGCTGAATGATGTCTATTGCACACTTGCTAGCATTGCTCCTTGGAGTGGTGGTTCTCACCACTCCCTCCCTTGGTACCTACGAGCCACCCAATTATGGGAAACCGCCTACTCCTGTTTACAAGCCTCCCGAGGTGAAGCCACCACCAATTTATAAACCTCCAAAGAAGCCAGAACCTAACCCACCCAAGCCCCCCGTATATGAACCTCCGAAGAAAGAGAAGCCAGAACCTAAGCCCCCAGTTTATACACCTCCAAAGAAAGAGAAGCCAGAACCCAAGCCACCAGTATATGAACCTCCCAAGAAACCACCAGTTTATGAGCCTAAGCCACCAAAGCCACCAGTTTATGCACCACCGAAAAAAGAGAAGCCAGAACCCAAACCTCCAGTTTATGAACCTCCAAAGAAGCCTCCAGTGTATGAACCTAAGCCACCAAAGCCACCAGTTTATGCACCTCCAAAGAAGGAGAAGCCAGAGCCCAAACCACCAGTGTATGAACCTCCAAAGAAGCCTCCTGTGTATGAACCTAAGCCACCAAAACCACCTGTTTATGCACCTCCAAAAAAAGAGAAGCCAGAACCCAAGCCACCAGTATATGAACCTCCAAAGAAACCACCAGTATACGAACCTAAGCCACCAAAGCCACCAGTTTATGCACCTCCAAAGAAAGAGAAGCCAGAACCCAAACCACCAGTGTATGAACCTCCAAAGAAGCCACCAGTGTATGAACCTCCCAAGAAACCACCAGTGTACAAGCCACCATATGGTCACTATCCAGGACACCCTCCATTGGGGAAGCCTCAATAGAAAGCCCCCATCAGCTAGCCATCTGAATAACTGAGCTTCTATGGCTATATAGATAGATCAGTACCTACAAATAAGAGCTGCTGCCAACTCATGCTTTATTTTCACGTATGTCATGTAATGATGTTTTCTTGTATGTCGTATTTTATGAGAAACCACTAGCTAGCGAGAATGTTCGTGTCAGTACTGTTTGAAATGTCTATTCTATATCTTCTTGTTGCTCAATGAGCATATCCTGATTCAACTTATAAGCCAAATGCCATCTGCAGGAGTTATTAGTAACAGATTTTTCTTGCATTTCCATGCATGTGTCCCTTTTGCCAATCAAAATAGCTCCAGATCAATTCAATTTTTCTTATGTTTAACTACATGCATGGAGAAAACAATGGCAGATAGGCCAATATAACCCAATAAATAAATAAATAAATAAATAAATAAAGATCGAGTCAATGATGACAGTTGCAATGACCAATCTCCATCCATCTGCGGATATTTGAAGCCAAGAATGCTAACTTTGTCTTGCAACATGAACTAAAATGAAAACAAGGGAATATGTAAACATAAACTTGTACCAAAAAAAAAAAAAGCTTATAAAAACTGTTTTTGAAAAACTATTCCATGAATTCTAGAAAATACCATAATGCCACAAATCTGATTTTCATTAGCACAAAATTTTGATAAATTCATCAATGCCCTGAAGGCGACATTTATTTCTTATGTGTATACTTCTTTGCATTGTATCTAAAACAGGAGAAAAGAAAAGGTTGGATGGCAGAGAGAGAAATCGAAACTGTTGATTTTTTTAGTAATCCATGCATTCTCTTACGAAGTTTAACATTGAAGTAAAGGAACAATGATACTGTAAAGAATCCTGAGTGGGGTAACTTAAATTTCAAGTGTAGCGCTGTTTTACTGGGTCATCTGTTTGTGCATATGAGCAAACTGAGAACATCCACCTATAAAATTTAGCACTAATAGAATCCTACCTTATGAACAACACCGTTCACAAGCATAGAGGTATCGGGACAAACGGTGTTGCCTGAGCTGCCCGTCCTGGACGGCAACTAGCTTCGTACATTGAATTCTTATATCAAGATTAGCGTTGAACCATAATAGTTTTTGCAATGCTGAAATAAATCGAACTAAAGCTAATTCTCTGTATTCGACTCTGGCTTGTCTTGACCACCAGATTGTCTTCTGTTTGTTTCTAACTGTGGGCACGTTATCCATGCAAGGTCCCCACTCCCCCACCATCCTGTTTGAGGATATGCTAACAAATTACAACTTGTTACATAATTAGAGGTTTAAAGGGGCTAAAAGTGTTTGGAGTCAATGTCACCGGCAGGACCTTATGTAACTGCAAATATCAACTCTTTGAAATTAGCCTTTTAACTTTGATTTTCTTCTAATGTTTGGTCCCCATTCCTATTTTCAAAAGCTATCTACCTGCCCAAGATCCTCTATTAAACCACATTCTAGTTTATTCCATCAGGTTGGTTAGTTTATTGAGCCTTGATCTTGTTTAACACATATATGATTAAGTTTAATCCAAGTGTTCTCAAATTATAAATGAACAAGCTTGCTTTGTAGAATGATAGGAAGAGTTAGCCAACAACCGCATGCGCTCTGTTTTGCTTTGTACGTAAAAGTTTGGGGTGGGGGAGGCTTCCCATTCCAGGATTAAGGCACAGTACAAGCCTCAAAGAGATTTACATTGGATTTAGAGATTGACAGATTACCCACAGATTACCCACCTACAGGAACTGTTGCTAGCGGGATTCGAGCCTACGTACCTACGCCTTACAACTGCATATGGTATGTTAGTAGAGTGCTGAACTCTTTGTTTTCATAACCAGATTCAATCCTGACAGCATCAAATATCAGAAAAAAAAAATTATAAGAAGAATCAAGCAAGCATTAAGGTGATTTAGGAAAGTGACGAAAACAACTGTAGAGTAGGTCCTACATCTAAATGCAAATGATGATTATAGTTCATTAGAACAGGATGCCAATACATTTTTTTTTCTTCCTGCATTTCAACCTTTCAATTTTCTAGCACGGTTGATTTGTGGTCCTGAGAACCAATATGAATAACCCGAAGGAAGGTTTTTATCTTTCACCAATAGAGTCCTGCTGATGGAAAATGATTGGCAAAACCAGTTAAATTAACCATCTGCCATGCCCGACAGTCAAGTTCATTAGTCAGTTTCGTTTTTTTAGCACCGACAGACACCTTGAAATCCATCTCTAGATAAACTAAAGTTTACGAGGAAATCTGCCTTTTGGTAATATTTCTAACTTCAAATTGATTATAGACAATGATAATAAGATATCAATAAAGTAACGAGAAAAGCTGAATTTGGTGGAGTAAAGGATTCTGCATAGAAATTTAAAGCTTCCTAACAACTTATTCACAAGTGTACCGAATTTGACCACGTTGCTAATTTATTTAAGGCTGTTTTGACCTTTTAACAACCAGTTTGATTCATATGAAAGTTTCAATAATCAAATAAGAAAATTAATAGGGATAGGAGAAAAGAGTGGTCTCATTTTGTTTTTAATAAGCTTTTTCCATGATGAACAATCAGAATTCAGAGTTGAATAGCTATAGACTGCTAAGGCCATGCAAAATATCCACCAGGAAGGAAAACTTACCTCAAACTCACAGATACTGTCTACAAGATTGTGATCAAGTGTCCTGTGAAGTAAGCTTCAGCTGTATGTTTTTAGACAGAAAAATTTGTGGAGAGTCGCATTCAATTTATTAAGTATTGTCGATTTTGATCTAAATATTTTATGATTTTATCTCACGAAAAACTTCTTATAAGTATTGATTTAAGTTTTTACATATATATCATAATGAATGGTCATAATATCCCAACATGAGATTATGGCCTTACAAAATTAATGAGACAGGACTTCTTAATTATATCTTTAAGTTGTGAAAATCTGAATCATTCTAGTCCTGTTAGCAATTTCAAATCGACTGACAACTTTTTAACACTTTGGGATTACAAAGCAAGTCCGATAAACTGACAGCAAAATTGCTTACATGCTATACTTCGTGTTCCAGACACTACTATGGAGCTTCAGTCCATGTCATAGAAAGACATGATCATCTATTAGGAGTGATCATCTTTTTCCTACCGACTCCTTATATCTATTTGTTCTTATTTGCCACTGCATTGTCATAAATCTCATTCAATCTCCTTATATCCACTGCATTTCCCCATTATTTAGACTGAATGTGCATCTATGAAAGGTACCATAGTAAACCAAATTTCTAACTACTACATTGAGATGGTAAACACAAATTTTACATCTCTTGAATCCTATAGCTCCTCACTGATGTAGTTACCTGTCTACATAAATTTTACAGTCCTTTTAAGTTCTAACCTTATAAATCTGTCTCAAATTATCATAGATAACATCATTAAGTCATTATCTCCAGTACCAGAAGATGACAAAAGGTACGAAGAAATGGGAAAAAGTATGAAACCTCTACCTAAACATATTTACTGCGGATGGTAAAGGTCAGTGTTAGGGTTGGTCCTGATCAAGAACAATAAATTCATTGTATTAATTTACTACGAGACCTTTTTAGAATTCACATGCTTATTGATATTGTTATAGCATCTCCATTTCGATCCACCCCTTCCTAATTGGTACTCAATGCTGCCTAATAATGTTGATATATTTCCTATAATCTTAAATCTAAGCAGTTAAAAGGTCCCCTCACCAACCATGATTAATTGAATGACCACAAAAATTAAAGAGTGTCTTGTATAGACAAATTATGAAACTTTCCCTGACAAATATGCTTTATAAACACTCATCTTTTGTGTTTGCCAGCTAGATTACTAAGAGCAGCATGCTCAATAACTAAAAGCTGTTGGTGCCTATATCTCTTTCTGATCTTAATCACAAGATATAGAGCCAATCATTGTTAATCTTTCCTTCTCCCTTGATTGGTTGAAATGCATTTTTTCAAATATAACAAAATAATCTTCCAAGGAAAACAGCGGAAATGTCAAGTTTCACGTGTTAATAAATAAAGGAAAAATATTTAATACACCGCAGATGGAGATTAAAGTTAAGGGTTGGTACATACCTTTAGGATATATTTAAATAAGCAAAAGCTTATTTATCAACCCAAGATTAAAGTTAGAGGGTTGATACATACCTTTAGGATATCTTTAAATAAGCAAAAGCTTCACTGTATGAACCATTTTCTGGTAGAAAAAATAAGATGCTGAACTTTACATTGGTCCCCCTGATGTTTGATCATTGATTGCTGAGCAAAAAATGCAAAATAAGTCATCTTTAGACCAAGTTATGGAACTTGAAAGCTCATTCCACTACACAAACCAGCAAAAAGTTCCAAACATGTTGCAGCATCGGCTTACATCAACTAGAAAGATGCTAAAAGCTCTCAAGTGGTTCAGCCATGATGAGAGTGAATTCAAGGGGGATACACATTGTAATGAACTGCACTATGATGTACAATTTCCAGCCTTTTCTTTAGGGAACACTTTTGACCTAGACAATAACCAACAGCCTGCGCTCACTTATACAAATCTAACCCAACAACAGACAGAAAAGCTAAACCAAGTATCGATATAGGAACAACAAATTGTTCAGAAAAAAATTTAAACTTTTTACAGTTAGCTCTGGGTAAGGTAAGAACAAATTTAAGCCTGTGAAGCAGAACTGATTAAGTCAAGGGAGTCATAAATTTCAGGGACCTCAATAGCACTAGAGAGTTTAAATGAAGTTACCAAAGATGTAAAACTGTTGTCAATTACTTTATATAGGTAACAAGCTCATCATACATTTAGGCTAAGTTGCTGATTTTAAAATTTCAAGGGATCCAATTACTCTTGAGTCTATATCCCTTTAGTCAATTATAACTAGTTTCCTGTCATGAATTGTTAATGCACAGATGTATGAAATTATGAAGAGAATATTCTGCCTTTCACACTTTTACCCCAAATTGAAAATATGTGATAATTCCAATGCCATGACCCTCAAGGACTTGGTTCAACAGCCTCGCCGGCTTCTTGCAAGGTACCAATGAGTGATCAGAGCTCTAATCTAATTAAAATCCTAGTAACAACAGAGAAAGAATCGTAGATAAATGCTAGCATTAGCAATTAGTATTGGCAATGACAAACTAGAGTAATGAGTCTCAACTGAAAAATGAATTTGTTGCAGCAGTCATTCTTCAAAACCAAAAACAGCCAAAAGGAAATTATTTCTGTAAATACATAATCAAAGCCCAATGGCTCACCTGATCAAGATTGAAGGAGGCCTGTTTGTGTGTGAACCATTGTGGGGTAGGGAAAGTAGATATCAGATGATGGGTTGGTCCAACTAGCTAGAATCCAGAAGCCTAAAGTATGGGTCTTCAAGCATATGCCATGACCCGACTGTACGCAAATATTTCAAATCTATCAGTACTCTCATCACAATAACAAAGAGCATGTACATCATTGAACTCAATTCCTTAGACTAAAATATGGCTGCACAATTGCCCAAACCAACTTAAAAGTCGCTTCTAAGTAGCAAAGCTTTACTAAAAGCAATGTTACCATTAGGACATACATGATCAAGTTAATTTGATCAACAAAAACTCAAACTTTCCCGTCAGGATGATCAAAGACTAATTTGATTCATTTACCAGCAATGAAAATCACATACATCTAACCAAACAGGACCAGAATGCATCACTTAAAATCCACAACAGGCAAGCAGAAAATTCTGCAAAAAAAAGGTATATGTAGACTACAAGGAGAAACATGCCTATTACATCCCAGAAGAACATCATAACATGATAACTGCAAATCTTAGGACTGACAGATTAAGTAAAGATCAACAAGGATGTTACATTATACTAATAATTTGATTTTCCATTATTTGTACAAGTGTAACGTTATGAAGAGACTACTCTGTCCTTTTCATATTTTTACTCCAATTCCAAAGTAAAATTTTTCCTAGTGACATTTTGATGAAGACCTTTATAGCATAACCGATCAACCAAATATGGTTTTACTCAATTTTTTTTATTGAGCCGGATTGGTAGGTTTTGCCTAATATATATATATATATATATATATATATATAGATATATATTGAGTTTATTTAAATAAGTTTATTTATATAAGACTTAATAAATTCATAAAAAAATTTTTTAATAATTTTTCATCCAATTCGAATTCAAGAAAAAAAAAAAAAGCTTACTATTTGAAACAAAATCAATTCCAATTGATAGTATAATTTTGCTTTATTAATGATAAGAAAGATAACAAAATTAAATTATAATCTATAATCAATGAATTCTTTCTTTAGACACTATTTTTTAAAAAAAGATTTTAAAAAATTTTATCATATTATATTTGTATTTATTTATAAAAAAATAAACAACATAATGAAATAAAATTTTACTTAGAAACCACAAAAATAAAAATACAATATCATGTACCTCACCACAGATGATCGAAATTTTCATTTCTTGCCCCTCAAGTAAAATCTACCCTATTTAAACACCCATCAAACATTTTCATCTTGAGACTCACATGCTCTCAACAGTAAACCCTAGAAAGGAAAAACAAAAAGAAACACTAGAGGCCTTAACCAATATGGCGTCCAATACCAGCGTGCTTCTTGGTCCACCAGCGCTTCACTCCGATATCGATCCCATGGTGGGCTCCGTCCAATTAGGCGTTGCCAACCTTCAACTCGACGCTGTCAAACCGATCATGCCCCAATTAGGGTTCCCCAAAAACGAGTTCTTCATGGACTCAAACACTGGCAATCCTTGCCTGGACTTGTTCTTCTTTGCCTTGCCTTCCACGCCAACTCATGCCCTTGTTAACTGGCTTGCAAAGGCATGGTCTTATGACCCTTTAACCACTTTGAAGCTTGTTTGCAATCTGAGAGGCGTCCGTGGCACTGGAAAGTCTGATAAAGAAAGCTTTTATAAATCTGCATTATGGTTACACAAAAACCATCCCAAAACCCTGGCATGCAATGTCAGGGTTTTTGCAGAGATCGGATGCTACAAGGACTTGATGGAGATTCTTTATAGGCTTTTGGAAGGAGAGAAGGTGAGGGAAATCGCGAAGCAAGAGTGGCAAACCAGGAAGGAAAAGAAAGGCAAATGGCTGAATCGAAAGATGTGTAAATCCAAGCGTAAGCCACAGTTGCCAAGGGATGTTACAGTTTCCCAGAAGACAAAGATTGCAAGCTCGAATAAGGAGAATGCGAGGAGTATAAGGAAGCAGAGAGAGCTGAACAAGGCAAAAAAGGCCTACGAAAGGTATTGTAGCGATCCGATGTATAAGTTCTTGCATGATTGTGTAGCCGATATGTTTGCAGAAGATTTAAAGAAAGATATAAAGTTTTTGAATTCTGGTGAGGTTAGGAAAATTAGTCTGGCGTCTAAATGGTGTCCTTCTATTGATTCGCCTTATGATAAGGCTACTTTAATATGTGAAAGTATTGCTAGGAGGATGTTTCCAAGGGAATCTGACCCTGATTATCAGGGAATAGAGGAGGCTCATTATGCATTTAGAGTGAGAGATAGGTTGAGAAAGCAATTTCTTGTCCCTTTGCATAAGGCTCTTGAATTGCCAGAGTTATATATGAGTTCAAAGCAGTGGGATGCTCTGCCTTATAACAGGGTGCCTTCTATTGCCATGAAAAATTACAAGAACCATTTCTTGTGGCATGACAACCAAAGATTTAGTGGGTATATTGAGGATGCGAGGAAAGAAGATGAAACAATTGGTGGTGGTGCATTACTTCCCCATGAAATCATTGCTTCTTTGAAGGATGCAGGTGAGGTTGCTGAGTTGCAATGGAGGAGAATGGTGGAGGATCTTAAAAAGAAGGGAGAATTGAATAACTGCATTGCTGTATGTGATGTCTCTGATAGCATGCATGGGACTCCTATGGAGGTTTGTGTTGCTCTAGGGCTATTGATTTCGGAACTCAGTGAAGAGCCATGGAAGGGGAAGGTGTTTATGTCACGGACCTAAGGAGGAGTCCTGACCCATATCAAATATAAAAGGACGGTCACTGAAGTTTAAAAGGGTTCACACAATTTCTTCCTTGTGAGGCACTTTGTGTAGGACAAAATCGTGAGGCCAGGGGTGCCAGAGCCGACAATAACTCACAAGAGTGTGAACCATGGCAGGTAGGTTGATCTGGGACGCCGGATGAGTGAATGCTCGAGTTCTAGAGCCACGCAGGTTTGGAGCTTAAGTCTCGACCCGTGACACTTAAATTTGGCTCAAAACCAGAGCTTCATTTGATCCAAGGGGATAGCCTTCTATCAAAGACCCAATTTTTAAGGAAGAAGGATAGAGGTGCAAATGTTGATTTTGAGAAAGTGTTTGATAAAATTTTGCAGGTTGCTATTGATGGGGAAGTTGAAGGAGGATCAGATGATAAAGAGAGGATTTTTGTTTTCAGTGGTATGGAATTTGATGAAGCATCTAGGCAGAATTATGATCATCCAATAAGAAACATGTCCAATGACTCAAATGGACAGTGTTCTGGTTATTACAATGGTTCTTTATATTGGGATAGTAGTCTTGAAGAAGATTATATGCTTGAGGATGTTGAGGATGACTGGTATGCTATGTGTGAGCGTGAGATAAAGCAGAAGAAGTTGGGAGAGAAACAGCAAAAATTCACAGCAAAATCATGGAAATCCATGTATGGAGGTATAAAGAAGAAATTTCAAGAGAAGGTTTTCAACATGCCCGAAATTGTGTTTTGGAACCTTAACAACTCTCCTGATATGCCAGTGCCTTCCAATCAGGGTGGAGTGGCACTAGTTTGTGGATTGTCAAAGAATTTGGTGGAGTTGTTCTTAGATAATTGAGGGATTATTAACCCTGTTACTGTGATGGAACAAGCCATCTCTGGAGAGCTATATCAGAAACTCTTTGTGTATGATTGATTTGTATCAGAATGAGTATGACCAATGTGTATCTCCAGTGTATATTGAATGTATCAATAACAGTTTCATCTTCCAAATTTTCCCTTTCAATGATCTGCCTAAAGTTGGTGATAAGAGGTATTGTTATTCTACAGCATTTAGTCCCTCATCAGTGACTTTAGTAACTGGGTTAGTTTTTCTTTTTTACTGATGGCATCATAATTTTTTTTTTAATGTCCGAACTCCTAATATCATTTGAACAGGCTACTATCTGATAAATGACTTGGCATATTCATGAGATTGAGTGCGGAAGGTTTCAAGGCTATATCTTTGAGACGGTAATGCCCAAGCTTAAACCTTCAAACTACTGTGCTTCCAACAGATGACAGACAAGTGCAACAAGGAAAAACCAAAACTCTTGACCTGTCAGGAAAGAAGGCTACTAGAGCGTAATTTAATTTTCCTGGAGATATAAGATGAAAAAGCCCTTCAGTGCTTAATTTTCTTTGATGTTTCTACCATTAGGACTTCAACACTAGTCAATTCTAGATGGTAGTGTCCATCCTTTTAGCTAATGATGCTTGATGATCAATTTGAGTTCATCTGGATTGAGAAAAAAATTTCTTTATCATATGATTCAGCTTCTTTGCTCAGCTCTAATGCATTATTATCTCATCAATAAACATTTAAAGATCATCCTATCTGTCAGTATCTTTTGTTCTCCATAATCTGTCATCAGTTAACACTTAACAAATAGATATGTTTCCTTCCATATATCAACCACAAACTTAGGGCTAATCCATGAGCAAAATGGCAGTCAGAACTCCGGATAGGACTGTTGGGGGAGGGATAACTAAGTTTCACATCACAAGATCTTATTATTTGTGGTTTATCTGCCAAAGCTATTTGATAAAGCCTGTTCAGATTGATGGATTTCGAGTTGATAAACCATCCTGCTCTTTTCTTCCCTCATTTTAACCCGTGCTTTTTTTCTTTTTTGGTTTCGGATGCATCAATTGGCAAGAAGGGAGCACTATTTTCACAGATTATTGTTATAAGCTAGAATACAAAGACTCCAACTAGTCCTTCAGTAATTGGTAATAATGGTTAGATGCTGTCAACCATGATTTTGTTTAGCCAAGGTTAACGTAAGAACAGGTGAAATTCTAACCATGTTTATGCGAACAGATGGATTGTTCATTGTGCAGTGAGACATGGAACGTGAAATTCTAGTTATCCCTTAAAGCTGAAAATTGCCCCCAAAGGATTGTTCTTCATGAGTTTTGCAAGTTCCATTGCCTGCTATTGATCTGGCTGAGCATCAGGTATTAATTATGAATCATTTTTCAATGAAGGGATTCAAATGGTAGGTTGGGTGAAATTGTTATAATATTACTGTTGCTTTGTGATTCGAGGAAGTCTCCGGGAACCGGATCGAGATGTGTCATTTGCTAAAAGTAGATGTACTGGTATTATAGATAACAAAAAAATGGGTTTTTTTTTATTAATTATGACACCATAAATTTTATATTTTATATGAATTAAATATTTTATGAATATATAAATTGTCAATTTTATTGATAGGTACATATACTATAATTTATCTTAAGAATGTTTGGGGTATTTGTATTAATCAGTTATGGCTTGTCCACAAATTATTTTTCTATTATTAATCTTGTTATTGATGCCCTGTGGCTATGTTGTGAAGTTATATTTTTGGCTCCATGGTATCTAGCAGGCGAGTTGATACCTCGGATTGAGATTTAAGATGCTGTGGCCGTAAGGTAAAAAATCTTTAGATTTGCGCTGGGCGAGCAAAGCCAAGACACTTATTGGGTTTAAGTACCTTATCAATGTTCTGACCCAAAACTTTTCCCAGCCGATTGCTATAAATTTGTGAGTTTCAGACTTCAAAATGTTAATTCTGTTTTCTGGAGATTGTATTATACCTAAAAGGAAATTCTTTGAGAAATTTAAGCTATATATTTTATTCATTCATTATCAGCCTTCATGCCATAAGCGAATTATAACAGCTAAGGGAAAATGTGGACTAGAGTTGGTTTTTCATTCTTTACGTGGTAACATGATTACTCAAAAAAAAAAAAATTATAAATTGAAGGTCAATTTTAGTACCATAAACTCAAATCGGGAGTACCCCGATTGACTGAAATCTGCATTTTATGACTAAACCGCTAACGTTGGCCTCAGGTCCTCTTACGACGCTCCCAAATGGAGCCTAAGACAATCAATTTCTTATAGCATTGCCAAGTTAATAAACTAAAAGATTCAGATTTCAAACAAGTACCATCAGTCTCCAGCAAATTCAAATCTTCACTTTTTTTTTTTGGTATGTTGGGTTTTATTCCTTATCCAAGTTCATTCAGATCATTGAGTCTGAATAAAAATGCAATTTGGCGCTCTTGACAGATAGTCTGCATGGACGTAGATGCAGTCTGCTTGTTGCAAAACCAATGGATTAGTCCTTTCGAATGCACTTGAGATCATGACGAGATAGCTACATTACCAAAACAAACATCAACATCATCATCATCATAATTATGAGACGCCATTTTTTGTTTCGATTGCTCAATGTTTATATTTCCATTGCCTATGAAAACGCTATGAAACAGGATCATACTCTTATTATTGTCGTAACGATTTTGGGACCGTCAGATGTAAAAAATATTTTAAAATCAAGAAAAATAAAAAGAGAGTCGTTACCAATATTTTTTAAGGGTGTGATTGGTCACCCAAAAGTTTATCTTTTTAATAAAACTATAAAAACGAATTTAAAGTTTATTAAAAAGACAAATGTTGGTCTACGAAAATCAGATTGGGTCTGGGAGTCGGTTACGTGTGGGGAAGGATTAGCACCCCCACTACGTCCATAGATTGGTACCATTTAATCATGCGCTATTTTCGATATTGGATAAAATAGTTTCAATTTGAAATTTAACACTAATTCCTTCACTTTAAAAAAATAAATTTTGGTTAAAATTCCTTTTTTAGGAATATTAAAAAAAAACTTTAAGTTAAAGAATTATCTTAAAATTCTCCAACATCTAGGCAGAACTTAAGATGACTATTTCACTTGAGATTTAATATAACATTATCTTAGAATAAAAATAACACTCTTTGCAAGAAATGATTATTAGTAACTCTCTAACATTTAGGTAGAGTACCAAGAATTATTTCTTTCGAAATATTATTTTTGTTTTATTTTATATTATCAAAAATATATATTTTGGAAAATTTTATATGAGAAAATAAGTTATGGTATTGTAGGCAACAAATGAAAATTAAAGACAGAGAAATACAATACAAATAACATGATAAGGTATGTATGCAAAGTGATGAAATATAAATTTAGAGTAGGATTCTTGAATATAATGAGACCACTCTGACTCTCCAACAACTAGGCAGAGCCTAGGTGCGATTGTTTATATTTAAGATCTCATTTCATTATTATACTTTTGTAGTTAATCTTATTATTAAAGCAAATTAAGAACTCATATGAAAAACTTAATGAAATAAAGTTTCCTAAATACCCTATCATCTAGGTAGCGTTCAAGAATAAATAATTTCAAATGGGATTCTCACACGTGTCCTTAAGATTTTCAGAAGGTTTTGAGTAAGGGTTTGAGTAGAGGTTTTGAAGGTTTGGTTTTAAGGTTTAGAAGGTTTTAAGGCTTGAATTTTTAGGATATGAAAGGTTTAGGATTTTGATTTTAGAGTTTAGAGATTTTAGGGTTTGGGTTTTGGGGTTTGGGGTTTTGATATAAGGGTTTGATTTTAGGGATTTTGGATTTTGGGGTTTGGATTTAAAGGATTTCGGATTTTAAGGGTTTTAGAAAACGTGAACATCTCTAAAAATCTTAACATCTAGGCGGACTTTCGGAGCAAGTTCAATTTTTATAATCCTTTTTTTAAAATTAATTTAAGAAACATAATTTTTTTATAAAAATGTTTTTTTTTTTAAATGTTCCTTTTTTATGAAAACTTATTATCAAAAATATTATTAACTTATTTAGTATTTTTTATAATAATAATTTCTCAACATCTAGACAAAATTATTATTTTTGAAATATGATTTAATTCACTCCAACATCTAGGCAGGAAAAACAATTCTATTATTATTATTATTTAAGCATTTTTAATATTTTTTAAAATTATTATCTTACTTTGTTTTCATTTTATTATTATTAAAACAATTAAAAAACTTATCCTAACAAATTTAAAACTTATCATGCATAAATATAAAAAAAAACTTAAAATAACAAAAATAATAATATATAAAAAAAATTAGTAAATTCAAAAAAAAATTTTTTTTTACTTGAACCAGATCGGTCAACGGTTTGGTCAATGGTGGTTCGGGTCGACGGTTTGGTTCGACGGTTCGGGTGCGGTTCAACTCTGTCTGGGCGCGGTCTGGTTGGTTCAACGGTTCGGTATTGGTTTGGTTCGGGTTCAGGGGTTCGGTTTCGGTTCAGTCAGATCGATCAAAGGTTGATGGAAAAACGGGTCGCGAGTCGGGTGCGCGGATCCCGGGTCAAGTCGTAGGTTGTTGCACGGATCTTGGGTGTTTAAAATGACGTCGTTTTGGGTGTTTATTGAAACGACGTTGTTTTGGCTATTGATAGCTTATATAAAAGTCCAAAATTTTTTTTTCGGTCATTTCCTTCGTTTCTAAAAAAAAAAATGCCTTTTTTTTCTCTCTCTTTTTTTTTTTCAACTGACCTTGGGTTGGTGGTCGTCCGTCGTGACGGCCGCCGCAGTCTTTGCTGGCGACAAGCTTCGACCACCGTCGTCGGTGTCGAAAAATTTTAAAAAATACCCACAAACTCCTTTCGACCTCTTGAACACAGATCCGATCTTTTTTTCACCAAAAAGAGTCCCCACTTCCCTAGATCTGCTTTTAAAGTTTCGGTGAAACTATTTTTTTTTTGTATTCTAACTCTTTTTTTTTTAAATTGACTTTTATTTCTTCTTTGTGTAGGAAGCTCTCGGCGCTGGGTTCCTCCCTACAGAGAGAACTGTGTTTTTTTTTTTGCAGTATTTTTTTTATTCTTTTTGCAGCATCTCCCATCCTCTGTGTCTTTTTTGGTTTGGCTAAGAGCTCTATTTATAAAGCTCCGACCGTGCATGTGCT